CTGGGGGACTATCTCACTAAAGACAAAATGATTAAATATTAATTAAATAATAATTACTACACTAAATTATTTTTTTTAAACATAGAGTAATGCATATTTCTAATACACACCTGGTAAAATCTGCAGGTACTGGAGCAGTAACAAATGAAGCCATGGGTTTACAGTGGAACTGTTTGAACATCTGTAGAAGTTCAGTGCTCTGGCCGATCAGTTCATTCTTGCCACTGTTCAGCAACTTCTGGTTCATTTTCTGGATCAGAGTCTCTAACTTTTCTGTATCCTGGGTCACTTGCCCTCTCTGGCCTATACAACATTAAGGCATACATTTCCTAATCTTCATGCATTTGCAAAGTTTTAAATATTGGTTAGATACAAACATTTTAATTCAGTTTTCATAGTTTTCCTAAATTACACATCTTTCCACTTTTTACAATCAGATTTACTTACTTTACCTTCATTTAATATTTAAAACTTTATTTTTAGAGATTGTTAAATATAAGACTGCCCTACATTAACTGGCAAAATTGGAAATATACAGCTTACGTCATTTCTATCTGTTACAATCAAAACATTCAGTGATAGACAATGAAATGGGCGGATACAATCCGACGCGGACGTGGGGAAAACATCGGATTGAAATTGCAGATCGAAATTCATTTTCAATCCACCTCAGCTACGGCCAGAAGGTACATTATTACTGATTGACCCAGAATACAAATAATTTCAAATTTGTTACAGTTTTAATTTTTTTGTCTGGTGTTTTAAATAGATTAATATTTAAGGGACAAATATTTAATTTCTCTTCGGTAAATATATGTATATCTTTGTGTAGGGGGGGGGCTGAATGATTTTTAAATAAAGTTGTCCAACAGTTTTCAGTGAGAATAAAACTCATGCACTCTTATAATCCTTGAAATAAAATATATTGTCATGTTAAGCCATGACCTGACTCAACAATTTTTTACCCCCCCCCACCTTCTAGAATCAAATATCTCCTAAAAAAATAATCTTTGTCTTCTTTGATCTTTCACGTTCTTAAAATTATAAGCTAAAACTCATATTAATGTGAACTTCAAACAATATGTATTTGGGAGTTGAATTTAGTTAATTTTTAGATCATACATTCACTCTTTGCTTTGAAAACAGCTCAGGTGGATTGAAAATGAATTTTGATCTGCAATTTCAATCCAATGTTTTCCTCACGTCCACGTCGAGTTGTACTCGCCCATTTCATTGTCTATCACTGAATGTTTTGATTGTAACAGATAGAAATGACGTAAGCTGTATATTTCCGATTTTGCCAGTTAATGTTCCGTGGTCTTAATAATGAAGTGTATGCTGTATTGACCTGTAAACTTTACAAAAAGAAGTGTCCCATGACCTACCCATTAAGGTAAGAAGTTTGGACTTGAGCTGAGTCTCCAATCTTGCAATCATCAGCTCCACAGCATTCCTGATTTCTCTTACTCTCTCATCTTTGGCAGTCTTTACCCCCTCTATGTTGCGTTCCTATTAACAAATCAGATTCAAAGTAAATCAATAAATCAACAAGGTTTTAAGTATATTGAAACACATAATTTATTCCTCTAGATAAAATTTTCCAGTTCAAAGATAAACACAAGAGATGTTTGTAAAACACTTAGGCCTAGAAAAAAAGTATGTTTGTTTCCGCTTTCAGGCTGAAAAAATATAGGGTAGGTCGGTAGGCAAATTTTTTTTTTTTTTGAAAATTATTTTTACTTCTTTAATCAAAACGTGTATAGAAGTAACATTAATGACAAAAGAAATGGTGTTTTCAAGCATTTCTGTGACTTAAACTTATAATAGAAAGGTGACTCAAACTTCTTTCTGTCTTGAAAAGCTTGCGAAGTTGGAGACTATAATTCCCTGGGTGAAATCTTGCACTACATGGGACAAAAGCATTAAAAAATTTTTTAGGGTCGGCACTATAAATTAGGGTCGGTCGGGAAAGCAGAAACAAACATATTTTTTTTCTAGGCCTTATGCCCCCCCCTCCCCCAAATTGGAACTTTTCTAAGTCTAAGGGGCATGACTATCTAAAAATAGCACCCCAAACACAACTTGATCTAGATGTTCATGTGATATATCCCTATACCAAATTTCATTTCAGTATGTGCAACGGTTGTGAAGAAAATGAATGGAAACTGCTAATAATTGGAATTTTTCCAAGTCTAAGGGGCTTAACTCTATTAAAAATGGCGCAATCATACCCAAAACAGACTTTGATCTAGATATTCATCTGATAAATCTGTATGCAATATTTCATTTCAGTATGTGCAACGGTTGCGAAGAAAATGAACGGAAACTGCAAATAATTGGAATTTTTCTAAGTCCAAGGGGCGTAACTCTGTCAAAAATGGTGCGATTGTACCAAAAACATAATTTGACCTAGATATTCATGTGATATATTGGTATACATGTACTAAATTTCATTTAGGATCCCGTGCAATAGTTGCGAAGAAAATGAACGGAAACAGCAAATAATTGGAATTTTTCTAAGTCCAAGGGGCGTCCGATTGTACCAAAAACATAATTTGACCTAGATATTTATGTGATATATTGGTATACATGTACTAAATTTCATTTCAGTACGTGCAATAAATGAACGGAAACAGCAAATAATTGGAATTTTTCTAAGTCCAAGGGGCATTACTCTGTCCAAAACAGAACTTGACCTAGATATTCATGTGATATATCCGTATACTAAATTTCATTTCAGTATGTGCAACGATTGTGAAGAAAATGAACAGAAACTAAGTGGACTGACCGACAGGTAGCAGCAAAGCAATATGCCCTCCCTTCTTCGAAGGGCGGCATAATAACTTACCACATCCTGCACCAGACTAATGAGCTCTACATGACGACGTTTAGCTGGTTCAGTTCTTCTGTAATTTTCTTCACATGCTCATTATAGACATCATCCAGAGGTTTGAATGTATGACCAGAGTGCTGAAATGTCAAATAAAATGTTTTTCTTCTATTTTTACTACACACAAATGGCATTTTGGGCAAAAAAAACCCTGTTTTTTTTAAATATAATAATACTCGTTATAGACCTTTTTTTTTTTTAGAATTAAAGAGCTTTGCAACAGGATTGGAAAGATGAGTACTAGTAACCACATGAATAAAAATATTTCCACAAATACAAAATATCAATAAGTCAAAAATCTTTACCGTTCCTCCCCACAATGCACACTGATGACAAATGCATTGTTTACAGGTCCAGCAATATACACTCAGTTTCTCCTGGTGGTCGTCACATCTAAAAATAGAAGGAAAACAAATCAAATCCTAAGGTTTGAAATTTCTTCAAGGTCCATATAATTTGTACAATCATCTTTTATATTTCTCACTACTCATAGGAAATTTTTTTTTTAAAAAACAAGAACATTTTTTTTATCATCCTCTCTGACACTTAATTAAACATTTAGAAAAATTACTGAATATAAACATGAGGATATTTTTCATGTGACAATAAAGAAAGAATGTAAAAATATTCAACGGACTTGTCCTTGTCAGAGTCCTCTTTCTTTGGGGAGGGAGCACAGTCTTTAAGGGTGTCTAACTGGTTAGTCACTTCCTCCGCCCAGCGACAATTGACCAGCTCATGAATGTGGAGAGAGGCTCTACAATGAAACACTAAATCATTTAAATATCAGAACAAATATAAAGGAGTTGCACAAATGTCTACTTAAAATTTCAAATTGAATTCTAAAACTTTTATAAAATATTGCAAAGAAGCAAAAGTTGTTAAAAAGAAATGAGTTACACATGTAATGACTGCACTTTCAGCACATTTCAGAATATTGCAATACCAGTATAAATTCTCTATGGGTATGTATCTACTGGTTGTGTGTTAGGTTGACAGAGTTGTTCATAATTCAATTTTTGTGTGTATTAGAAGAAAATCTTCATCTTTTACAAGTCTATAAAGTATTGATTACCTGCAGTGTGGACATTGTGATCTTTGCTCCGTTAGCCATCTCTGTAATCATGGTAATAAACATACAAAATATTACAAAAGGTTTCATTAAGAGTTAATAAAAAAAGATATATATAAATTATCTCTGAATTTGACTGTAGGATGAATTTAAAATCTTTATCAATGAGTGAATAAATCGGAAGGAAAGCAAAATTCCTTGTGTCGAGCTCAGACTGCTGTAAACCCGATATGCATTTAAAAATTGAAAGTACAGTTGCGTTATAAGTAAAACTGTAACTTACCCGTATACACAAGAAGCAGCAGAGTTTGGAACAGTGCGGACATAACCGTGCATCTCTCAACTTCTCCATACAAATGAAGCATCGAAATACTTCAGCAAGGCTCTGTTTCAAAATTAAATAAATTAAGTTAATATACAAAAATTACATATACAAGTTAGTTTCAGTTGGTTAAGATGGTTGTTTTGTAGAAATAAATATGAAGATCTAAGTATAACTTAGGACTAAGTATTCAGATTTGTTTTGATGCATGTTCTTTTTTTTCACTCATTTTCAGAGAAAATTGAGTCAACTTTTATCTTTTTATTGAATTCTTCAGTACAACTCTGACGTATTAAATTGATCTAATACCTCCATTGTTGAGTCTTCTAGTCGTCTACTTTCTTGTCTGCCACCAGATGCCATTCTCACGTGTATTCCATTGTTGTCAACAAAACACCATTGTGTTTTGGTGAGATCGTTGACTGTGCAAGAACTTGTTAAAACAGTACTGGGGTCAAGGCCGTTTCAACCGCCAGCTTTGATATTTTTGTTTTCAGTAAACGTTTTTGTTCAATTGCCTTCTTGGATATATTTTCTTATCCCTCAAAAGGCATCTAAGATTGTACTCGAAGAAGTTTTGAGGAGTTTTCAAACCATCCGTAATTTTTCTTTTCTTTTTTTTTTTAAATATTAATATTTGAAATTTACAATCAAACAAAACGAAAAATATTTTGAAGTTCGATCCCGATTTATTATCATTGAAAGGGAGATCACTCTAAAATAAACAACCTAAACAAAAACTAAAATTCATGGAATGTGACAGATGATGACCTGAATGCAGTCAGAGAGAACTAAAATGACAAACTGTTTTAAAGTTGCACTTTCAGACATAAAAAAGGCGCATGAAAAAATATCCCCATATATTCACTTCACGCCATTTTTCACAAGTTCGACACTTGACAATGTGGTTGGAAGGAAAGTGTTTTTCAAAGCAGAAAACTTGCAGAAGACGGGATCTTTCAAAGCAAGAGGAGCATTAAATGCTGTAAATATTTTTTTAAACCTTTTGATGTTCACGCATTATTTATTTTTTAATTTTGATTTGGTATTTCTCCAGTCAGCTACTTAGTTTACTAACTTTTTGGTACATTGACATTCTTAGATTGTATAAAACTGTATATTGAATGTGTACTTTGCAGGTGTTATCCTTAAAAGCTGGAAATCCAGATGTGAATGGAGTCGTATGTAAACATAAAACTTATATAATTTATACATATAATTCATATATTTAATTGGAAACGAAAATTGAAATAAAAAGTTCTTTTGAGTTTTTATTCATATCGGATTTTCTTTCATAAAAAAAATTATTTTGAGCTCGCCTGAGTCAAAGATTAAAGGAGGATATTTTTTTTTGGATGAAAATTTGTCACTGGTATGAAGTAAACATGAATGTTTTGCTTCTTTTATCGTAAGTAATATAAGATGCAATCATCATTAAGGTAGTAGAAGTACAGTTGTGCATGTGTGTTCAAATCATGGCTCAGGGGGTAGGTTAATTTGGGTCACATTTGTAGGGATCTTTTTTGACATGGGAATATATGGAAGTACCATATCTTAATTATGCCATGGTTGATAATATTAAGATACCCCCGGTACATGCATTCATTCTCAGATAGTAAAGTAGTGTGTGTTTACTTCTGAAAGAACAGCAAGACCATGTTAATCATGATGCATGTAAATCTCCAGAATGTGTTGATTCATATGAAGTTATATTGTTATCCTATTGGTCTAAGGTGGGACAACAATATGGGGTAGGAATTTTTCATGTGATTCAATAAAAATGGAATTTTCTAATCTTTTGATGATGAACATAAGTACTTTGTGATTCAGGTGAGCATTATGGCCCATGGGCCTCCTGTCTTTGAATAAACTTGTACAAATTTTCACAGGTCACCCATAGCAGTGGAAATCATGGGCAGGCATTGGCATGGGCTGCAAAGGTGGCTGGAGTGAAATGCAGTGTGGTTGTACCGAACAATTCACCAAAGATCAAGTCTGAAGCAATCAAAGGTTATGGTGCTGAATTAGTGTTCTGTGAACCCACACCAGCTGACAGGTATGTTGTTGAGGCCAACAATGTTTTTCTCTGATATATATTTAATATAATGACATATAAATATTCTAAAGTAAGTTTATTGAGATTCCTTGTTATTTAACTGAAAGAGTGCACCAGTTTCCCTGAATATTCAAAATAAATATTATTGAATTTGAGAAAATAAAAAAAAATTAAAGATATGTTATCAAAATTATATACTATCATGTTGTTTTAATTTCAGACAATCCACTTGTGACAGGGTTTCCAAAGAGAACAATTTTACCATAGTTCCTCCATATGACCACTATGATGTCATAGCTGGACAGGTATGAATGAAGGTGTAATGGAACATTGACAAAATAACAAATTAAAAGCATTACCTTACTATAAATTCCCAGGTCAATACA